GTGTTAGTGTGTGTGTGTCTGTGTGTGTGTTAGAATGTGTGTGTCTGTGTGTGTGTTAGAATGTGTGTGTCTGTGTGTGTGTTAGAATGTGTGTGTCTGTGTGTGTGTTAGACTGTGTGTGTGTTAGAATGTGTGTGTATGTGTGTGTGTGTTAGTGTGTGTGTGTGTTAGAGTGTGTGTGTGTTAGTGTGTGTGTGTCTCTGTGTGTGTGTTAGAATGTGTGTGTGTGTTAGACTGTGTGTGTGTTAGAGTGTGTGTCTGTGTGTGTGTTAGAATATGTGTGTCTGTGTGTGTGTTAGAGTGTGTGTGTGTGTTAGAATCTGTGTGTCTGTGTGTCTGTGTGTGTGTTAGAATGTGTGTCTGTGTGTGTTAGAGTGTGTGTCTGTATGTGTGTGTTAGAATGTGTGTCTGTGTGTGTGTTAGAATGTGTGTGTCTATTTTGACCACGTAGTTCGTGAAGCCTTCAATAGCTGTACCGGGGGAATCTCCATATGGTACAGATATAATGGGAGGCTAATCGATGCCCGGGTGCGGTCAAGGGATGGCTCCCTATTGCTCAACCACGTTATGTATGCTGATGATTTGGTAATAGCTGCTCAGTCAGAGGAGGAGTTGGAGACGCTGCTGCTGAGACTGAAGCGTGCCACTAAGAGGTGGGGCCTTACCATCAGCCCCACCAAAACTAAGCACCTGCCTGGGTATTTTGTACCATCGGACACTCCACCCCCACAACTCCCAATCGGTGATGGGGCAGTTGTGGAGAGAGTGGAGAGTTTTCCCATACCTGGGCAGTGTGCTTATGACTGGCTCCAGTTTAACAGCAGAGGTCTCACTCCGAATCAGTCGAGCGGCAATATCTTTTCATCGGTTGCGTAACGCTGTGTGGAAGCTACCTGGTCTGTCGCTCCGCACTAAGCTTCAGGTCTTCTCAGCCACGGTCATTCCCTCCCTTCTCTACGCTTGCGAAACGTGGACCCCCCTAATGGAACATCTTCGCCAGTTAGAAACATTTAGGCTGGCCTGCCTACGATCCATCCTGGGTTTAACCAGGCTGGATTGTGTGAAGAGCTCACAAATCCTTAAAAGATCTGGGCAAGGTCCCATCGGTGAGCTCCTCCGGCGGGCAAGGCTGCGATGGCTGGGTCATGTAGCCCGCATGCCCAGCCACCGCATGCCGAAACAGCTTTTGTTTGGCCGGATTGAGGGGGCTAAGCGGGCGCGGCACGGGCTAGAGAAGAGATGGAATGATGTGGTACAGGAGGACGTGGAGCTGGGTGGACTTGACGATGACCGGTACCAGCGGTGTCAAGATCGGCCTCTGTGGAGGAGGCTCGTGAAGGACGCTGCTGCTGGGCAGTTGGAGGCAGTCGCCCTCCAACAACAACGGAGGGCGGAGGAGCGACGCTCACAACAACGAGCGGAGCACCGGGTGGCTAAAGCACAGCGGGTTGGCACAGTAGGGGGCACAGGTGGTGCATCAGCCAGTCATCTCAGTCATCTCAGTCAGTCGACCCGTGGCACCTGGGTCTGCCCCGTGACCTCCTGCCAGCGGGCGTTCGACACTTCACGTGGCCTCTGGGTGCACATGGCCTGGCACAAGCGTCGTGGTGACGTCACCGCCACTTAGTGGCGAATGGCGGTTGTTGTTGTTGTCTGTGTGTGTTTAAGAATGTGTGTCTGTGTGTGTGTGTGTTAGAATGTGTGTGTCTGTGTGTGTGTTAGAGTGTGTGTGTCTGTGTGCGTGTTAGAATATGTGTGTGTGTTAGAGTGTGTGTCTGTGTGTGTGTTAGAATGTGTGTGTCTGTGTGTGTGTGTGTTAGAGTGTGTGTCTGTGTGTTAGACTGTGTGTGTTAGAATGTGTATGTCTGTGTGTGTGTTAGAGTGTGTGTCTGTGTGTGTGTTAGAATGTGTGTGTGTGTTAGACTGTGTGTGCGTGTTAGACTGTGTGTTAGAATGTGTGTCTGTGTGTGTGTGTTAGAATGTGTGTCTGTGTGTGTCTGTGCGTTAGACTGTGTGTGTGTCTATGTGTGTTAGAATGTGTGTCTGTGTGTGTTAGAATGTGTGTGTCTGTCTGTGTTAGAATGTGTGTCTGTGTGTGTGTTAGAATGTGTGTGTCTGTGTGTGTGTTATAATGTGTGTGTCTGTGTGTGTGTTTGAATGTGTGTGTCTGTGTGTGTGTTAGAGTGTGTGTCTGTGTGTGTGTCTGTGTGTGTGTTAGACTGTGTGTCTGCGTGTGTTAGAATGTGTGTATCTGTGTGTGTTAGACTGTGTGTGTCTGTGAGTGTTAGACTGTGTGTGTGTCTGTGTGTCTGTGTGTGTTAGAGTGCGGTCAAGGGATGGCTCCCTATTGCTCAACCACGTTATGTATGCTGATGATTTGGTAATAGCTGCTCAGTCAGAGGAGGAGTTGGAGATGCTGCTGCTGAGACTGGAGCGTGCCGCTAAGAGGTGGGGCCTTACCATCAGCCCCACCAAAACCAAGCACCTGCCTGGGTATTTTGTACCATCGGACACTCCACCCCCACAACTCCCAATCGGTGATGGGGCAGTTGTGGAGAGAGTGGAGAGTTTCCCATACCTGGGCAGTGTGCTTATGACTGGCTCCAGTTTAACAGCAGAGGTCTCACTCCGAATCAGTCGAGCGGCAATATCTTTTCATCGGTTGCGTAACGCTGTGTGGAAGCTACCTGGTCTGTCGCTCCGCACTAAGCTTCAGGTCTTCTCGGCCACGGTCATTCCCTCCCTTCTCTACGCTTGCGAAACGTGGACCCCCCTAATGGAACATCTTCGCCGGTTAGAAACATTTAGGCTGGCCTGCCTACGATCCATCCTGGGTTTAACCAGACTGGATTGTGTGAGGAGCTCACAAATCCTTGGAAGATCTGGGCAGGGTCCCATCGGTGAGCTCCTCCGGCAGGCAAGGCTGCGATGGCTGGGTCATGTAGCCCGCATGCCCAGCCACCGCATGCCGAAACAGCTTTTGTTTGGCCGGATTGAGGGGGCTAAGCGGGCGCGGCACGGGCTAGAGAAGAGATGGAGTGACGTGGTACAGGAGGACGTGGAGCTGAGTGGACTTGCCGATGACTGGTACCAGCAGTGTCAAGATCGGCCTCTGTGGAGGAGGCTCGTGAAGGATGCTACTGGGCAGTTGGAGGCAGTCGCCCTCCAACAACAACGGAGGGCGGAGGAGCGACGCTCAGAACAACGAGCGGAGCGCCGGGTGGCTAAAGCACAGTAGGGGGCACAGGTGGTGCATCAGCCAGTCATCTCAGTCAGTCGACCCGTGGCACCTGGGTCTGCCCCGTGACCTCCTGCCAGCGGGCGTTCGACACTTCACGTGGCCTCAGGGTGCACATAGCCTGGCACAAGCGTCGTGGTGACGTCACCGCCACTTAGTAGCGAATGGCGGTTGTTGTTGTTGCGTGTGTCTGTGTGTGTTAGACTGTGTGTGTGTCTGTGTGTGTTAGACTGTGTGTGTGTCTGTGTGTTAGAATGTGTGTCTGTGTGTGTTAGAGTGTGTGTGTGTCTGTGTTAGACTGTGTGTGTGTCTGTGTGTGTTAGACTGTGTGTGTGTCTGTGTGTGTTAGAATGTGTCTGTGTGTTTTAGAGTGTGTGTGTCTGTGTGTGTTAGAGTGTATGTCTGTGTGTGTTAGACTGTGTGTGTGTTAGAGTGTGTCTGTGTGTGTTAGACTGTGTGTTAGACTGTGTGTCTGTGTGTATTAGACTGTGTGTTAGACTGTGTGTGTTAGTGTGTGTGTGTTAGACTGTGTGTGTGTCTGTGTGTGTTAGAATTTGTCTGTGTGTGTTAGAGTGTGTGTGTGTTTGTGTGTGTTAGAGTGTGTGTCTGTGTGTGTTAGACTGTGTGTGTGTTAGACTGTGTGTTAGACTGTGTGTGTTAGAGTGTGTGTGTGTGTGTTAGACTGTGTGTTAGACTGTGTGTTAGAGTGTATGTGTGTGTTAGACTGTGTGTTAGACTATGTGTGTTAGAGTGTGTGTGTGTTAGACTGTGTGTGTTGGAGTGTGTGTGTGTTAGACTGTGTGTTAGACTGTGTGTCTGTGTTAGAGTGTGTGTTAGACTGTGTGTGTTAGAGTGTGTGTGTGTGTGTTAGACTGTGTGTGTGATAGAACCTGCAGCTGATGGAACCTGCAGCTGGTGGAACCTGCAGCTGATAGAACCTGCAGCTGATAGAACCTGCAGCTGATAGAACCTGCAGCTAATGGAGCCAGCAGTTGATAGAACCTGCAGTTAATATAACCTGCAGTTAATAGAACCTGCAGTTAATAGAACCAGCAGCTGATGGAGCCAGCAGTTGATAGAACCTGCAGTTAATATAACCTGCAGTTAATAGAACCTGCAGCTGATGGAGCCTGCAGCTGATGGAGCCTGCATCTGATAGAACCTGCAACTGATAGAACCTGCAGCTGATGGAACCTGCAACTGATAGAACCTGCAGCTGATAGAACCTGCAGTTGATAGAACCTGCAGCTGATAGAACCTGCAGCCGATAGAGCCTGCAGCTGATGGAGCCTGCAGCTGATAGAACCTGCAGCTGATAGAGCCTTCAGCTGATAGAACATGCAGCTGATAGAACCTGCAGTTAATGGAACCTGCAGTTGATAGAACCTGCAGCTGATGGAACCTGCAGCTGATGGAACCTGCAGCTACATATAACCTTCAGCTGATGGAGCCTGCAGCTGATAGAACCTGCTGCTGATAGAACCTGCAGTTAATAGAACCTGCAGTTAATAGAACTAGCAGCTGATGGAGCCAGCAGTTGATAGAACCTGCAGTTAATATAACCTGCAGTTAATAGAACCTGCAGCTGATGGAGCCTGCAGCTGATGGAGCCTGCATCTAATGGAGCCAGCAACTGATGGAGCCAGTAGCTGACAGGTGACGAGAGGATTGAGAGGCAACAGCTGAGGCCTTTGGGGGTGGTGGTGTCGGTGGTGGTGGTGGGGGTAGGGGTGGGGGTAGGGGTGGTGGTAGGGGTGGTGGTGGTGCTTGAGGAGTGATTGGGGCTCGCACACAGCAACTCACAGAGAGACGCGAGGTGAGTGTCTGTGTGTGTCTGTGTCTGTCTGTGTCTCTGTCTGTGTATGTCTGTGTGTCTGTGTCTGTGTGTGTGTCTGTGTGTGTGTCTCTGTGTGTGTGTCTGTGTGTGTGTTTGTGTGTGTGTCTGTGTGTGTCTGTCTCTGTGTGTGTGTCTGTGTGTGTGTCTGTGTGTGTCTGTGTGTCTGTGTGTGTCTGTCTGTCTGTGTCTGTGTGTCTGTCTGTCTGTGTGTGTCTGTGTGTCTGTGTGTGGGTGCACATAGCCTGGCACAAGCGTCGTGGTGACGTCACCGTCACTTAGTGGCGAATGGCGGTTGTTGTTGTCTGTCTGTGTGTGTCTGTCTGTGTGTGTGTCTGTGTGTGTCTGTGTGTCTGTGTGTGACTGTGTGTGTCTGTGTGTCTATGTGTGGCTGTGTGTTTGTGTCTTTGTGCTTCGTGTCTGCGTGTCCGATAGCGACGATCTGAACCTGTCCCGGGCCTACTCCTCTAGGTCGACTCAGCCTCAAATTATTGGCTGCACTTTGCCCGAGCGGTCTATTTGAGGTGCTACGCAGGGGATCCTTTACATTTGTCCAGACCTGAACACAAGCCCCCTGGTCTCGGTAGGCCAGGCTACGTGTGAGTGGGTGAGTGAGTGGTTGGGTGAGTGGGTGGGTGGGTGAGTGGGTGGGTGAGCGGGTGGGTGAGCGAGTGGGTGGGTGAGTGGGTGAGTGAGTGGGTGGGTGAGTGGGTGGGTGAGTGAGTGGGTGGGTGAGTGAGTGGGTGGGTGAGTGGGTGAGTGAGCGGGTGGGTGAGTGAGTGGGTGGGTGAGTGGGTGAGTGAGTGGGTGAGTGAGTGGGTGAGTGGGTGAGTGAGTGAGTGGGTGAGTGAGTGGGTGGGTGAGTGAGTGGGTGGGTGAGTGGGTGAGTGAGTGGGTGAGTGGGTGAGTGAGTGAGTGGGTGAGTGGGTGAATGAGTGGGTGAGTGGGTGAGTGAGTGGGTGGGTGAGTGAGTGGGTGAGTGAGTGGGTGAGTGGGTGAGTGAGTGGGTGGGTGAGTGAGTGGGTGAGTGAGTGAGTGAATGAGTGGGTGGGTGAGTGAGTGGGTGAGTGAGTGGGTGGGTGAGTGGGTGAGTGAGTGGGTCAGTGGGTGAGTGAGTGAATGAGTGGGTGGGTGAGTGAGTGGGTGAGTGAGTGAGTGGGTGAGTGAATGGGTGGGTGAGTGGGTGAGTGAGTGGGTGGGTGGGTGAGTGGGTGAGTGAGTGAGTGGGTGGGTGAGTGAGTGAGTGGGTGAGTGAGTGAGTGAGTGGGTGAGTGGGTGAGTGAGTGGGTGGGTGGGTGAGTGAGTGAGTGGGTGGGTGGGTGAGTGAGTGGGTGGGTGGGTGAGTGAGTGAGTGGGTGGGTGAGTGGGTGAGTGAGTGGTTGAGTGAGTGGGTGAGTGAGTGGGTGGGTGAGTGGGTGAGTGAGTGGGTGAGTGGGTGAGTGAATGGGTGGGTGAGTGAGTGAGTGGGTGGGTGAGTGAGTGGGTGGGCGAGTGGGTGAGCGAGTGGGTGAGTGGGTGAGTGAGTGGGTGAGTGGGTGAGTGGGTGAGTGAGTGGGTGAGTGGGTGAGTGAGTGGGTGGGCGAGTGGGTGAGCGAGTGGGTGAGTGGGTGAGTGAGTGGGTGACTGGGTGAGTGGGTGAGTGAGTGGGTGAGTGAGTGGGTGGGTGAGTGGGTGAGTGAGTGAGTGGGTGAGTGAGTGGGTGGGTGAGTGGGTGAGTGAGTGGGTGAGTGAGTGGGTGGGTGAGTGAGTGGGTGGGCGAGTGGGTGAGCGAGTGGGTGGGCGAGTGTGTGGGTGAGTGGCTGAGTGAGTGAATGAGTGGGTGGGTGAGTGGGTGGGCGAGTGGGTGAGTGGGTGGGCGAGAAGGTGGGTGAGTAGGTAGGCGAATGTGTGGGCGAGTGTGTGGGTGAGTGGGTGGGTGGGTGAGTGGGTGGGTGAGTGGGTGAGTGTGTGGGTGAGTGGGTGGATGAATGGGTGAGTGGGTGGGCGAGTGTGTGGGTGGGTGAGTGTGTGGGCGAGTGGGTGGGTGAGTGGATGGTTGAGTGGGTAGGTGAATGTGTAGGTGGGTGTGTCAATGGGTGAATGAGTGAGTAGGTTAATGAATGAATGAGTGGATTGGTGGGTGGATGAATGGGTGGGTGGGTGAGTGGCACGGGCTAGAGAAGAGATGGAGTGATATGGTACAGGAGGACGTGGAGCTGAGTGGACTTGCCGATGACCGGTACCAGCGGTGTCAAGATCGGCCTCTGTGGAGGTGGAGGTTCGTGAAGGACGCTACTGGGCTAGTGCCAGGCTAGGTGCACCTTGAGGCTACTGGGAAGTTGGAGGCAGTCGCCTTCCAGCAACAACGGAGGGCAGAGGAGCGATGCTCACAACAACGAGCGGAGCGCCGGGCGGATAAAAACACAGCGAGTTGGCACAGTAGGAGGGTACAGCTGGTGGTGCATCTACCGGTCATCTCGGTCAGCCGACCCGTGGCACCTCCTGCGTTGAGAAGGTCCAGATATGTTCTAGAACGTTCTGCATGGTGCAGACTGGTTTTGCAAGGTTCAGATAGATGCTATAAGGTTTTGCACTGTTCAGACTGGTTCTGGAAGGTTTAGACAGATTATATAAGGTTCCGGATAGTTCAGACTGGTTCTGGAAGGTTCAGACAGATCATATAAGGTTCGGCATGTTCCAGACTGGTTCTGGAAGGTTCAGACATAATCTAGAATATCCTGTACGGTTCAAACTGGTTCTGGAAGTTTCAGATAGATGCTATAAGGTTTTGCACGGTTCAGACTGGTTCTGGAAGGTTTAGACAGATTATATAAGGTTACGGATAGTCCAGACTGACTCTGCAAGGTTCAGATTCTAAAAGGTTTTGCATGGTCCAGACTGGTTCTGGAAGGTTCAGATTCTAAAAGGTTCTGCATGGTCCAGACTGGCTCTGCAAGGTTCAGATTCTAAAAGGTTCTGCATGGTCTAGACTCGTTCTGGAACCTTCCGACAGATTCTAAAAGGTTCTACATGGTCCAGACTCGTTCTGGAAGGTTCAGAATCTAAAAGGTTCTGCATGGTCCAGACTTGTTCTGGAAGGTTCAGATTCTAAAAGGTTCTGCATGGTCCAGACTGGCTCTGCAAGGTTAAGATTCTAAAAGGTTCTGCATGGTCCAGACTCGTTCTGGAACCTTCAGATTCTGAAAGGTTCTACATGGTTCAGAATCGTTCTGGAAGGTTCAGATTCTAAAAGGTTTTGCATGGTCCAGACTGGTTCTGGAAGGTTCAGATTCTAAAAGGTTCTGCATGGTCCAGACTCGTTCTGGAACCTTCCGACAGATTCTAAAAGGTTCTGCATGGTCCAGACTGGTTCTGGAAGGTTCGGATTCTAAAAGGTTCTGCACGGTTCAGACTCGTTCTGGAAGGTTCTGACAGATTCTAAAAGGTTCTGCACGGTTCAGACTCGTTCTGGAAGGCTTAGACAGATTATATAAGGTCCCGGATAGTTCAGACTGGTTCTGGAAGTTTCAGACAGATTATATCAGGTCCTGCACGGTTCAGACTGGTTCTGTAAGGTTCAGACAGATTATGCAAGGTTACGGATAGTCCAGACTGGCTCTCCACGGTTCAGACAGAATCTAGAAGGTCCTGTACGGTCCAAACTGGTTCTGGAAGTTTCAGATAGATGCTATAAGGTTTTGCACGGTTCAGACTGGTTCTGGAAGGTTTAGACAGATTATATAAGGTTCCGGATAGTTCAGACTGGTTCTGTAAGTTTCAGACAGATCATATAAAGTTCTGCACGGTCCAAACTGGTTCTGGAAGTTTCAGATAGATGCTATAAGGTCCTGCACGGTTCAGACTGGTTCTGTAAGGTTCAGACAGATTATATAAGGTTACGGATAGTCCAGACTGGCTCTGGAAGGTTCAGATTCTAAAAGGTTCTGCATGGTCCAGACTTGTTCTGGAAGGTTCCGACAGATTCTAAAAGGTTCTACATGGTCCAGACTCGTTCTGGAAGGTTCAGATTCTAAAAGGTTTTACATGGTCCAGACTCGTTCTGGAACCTTCCGACATTCTAAAAGGTTCTGCATGGTCAAGACTGGTTCTGGAAGGTTCAGATTCTAAAAGGTTTTGCATGGTCCAGACTGGTTCTGCAAGGTTCAGATTCTAAAAGGTTCTGCATGGTCCAGACTCGTTCTGGAACCTTCCGACAGATTCTAAAAGGTTCTACATGGTTCAGACTCGTTCTGGAAGGTTCCGACAGATTCTAAAAGGTTCTCCATGGTCCAGACTCGTTCTGGAAGGTTCAGATTCTAAAAGGTTCTGCATGGTCCAGACTGGTTCTGGAAGGTTCAGAATCTAAAAGGTTCTGCATGGTCCAGACTCGTTCTAGAACCTTCCGACAGATTCTAAAAGGTTCTGCATGGTCCAGACTCGTTCTGGAAGGTTCAGAATCTAAAAGGTTCTGCATGGTCCAGACTGGTTCTGGAAGGTTCCGACAGATTCTAAAAGGTTCTGCACCATTCAGACTCGTTCTGGAAGGTTCTGACAGATTCTAAAAGGTTCTGCACGGTTCAGACTCGTTCTGGAAGGTTTAGACAGATTATATAAGGTCTCGGATAGTTCAGACTAGTTCTGGAAGTATTCAGACAGATTGTATAAGGTCCTGCACGGTTCAGACTGGTTCTGTAAGGTTCAGACAGATTATGCAAGGTAGTCCAGACTTGTCTCTGCACGGTTCAGATTCTAGAAAGTTCTGCATGGTCCATACTCATCTTGCCAGCTCTCTGGAAGGTTCACGAAGGCAAAGTTTCACAAAGGTTGCTGGAAACGTCTGCCGGTGTGGTGTGGTGCGGTGGGGGGTAGGGGGTGGTGTGAGTCAGCAGATATAGCCAGGAGAGGTGCGTCTTGTGAAGACAGACGCCCTGGTCAAGGTAGGCGAAGTGATTATGAGTGGGGACACGTGAGAGGTGATAGGGAAAAGCTTGAGTCCGGATTTGCACCCACTAATCCACGAGCTCACCCACCGACTCGCCCACCTGCTCACTCGCTCGCTCAGCTACCCAGTCACCCATGCACCCACTCACTCACTCATCCAATCGCACAATCACTCACCCATCCACCCCTTCGCTCACCCACTCACTCAACCACCCATCCACCCATTCACACACACACACACTCACGCACCCACTCACTCACTCGCTCATTTACCCACTCATCCGCCTGCTCACCCATCTACTCACCCACCTACTCACCCACCTACTCACTCGCTCGCTCAACTACTCAGTCACCCATGCACCCACTCACTCACTCATCCAATCGCACAATCACTCACCCATCCACCCCTTCGCTCACCCACTCACTCAACCACCCATTCACTCACCCACTCACTCAACCACCCATTCACACACACTCACCCACCCACTCACTCGCTCATTTACCCACTCATCCGCCTGTTCACCCACCTACTCACTCAACTACCCAGTCACCCATGCACCCACTCACTCATCCACTCGCACGATCACAGGCTCACCCACTCATCGACCCACTCACTCACCCACTCACCCATCCACCCATTTACTCACTCACTCAACCACCCATCCACTCACCCACTCACTCAAGCACCCATCCACCCATTCACACTCACGCACCCACTCACTCACTCACCCATCCACCCGTTTACTCACCCACTCACTCAACCACCCATCCACTCACCCACTCACTCAAGCACCCATCCACCCATTCACACTCACGCACCCACTCACTCACTCGCTCATTTACCCACTCATCCGCCTGCTCACCCATCTACTCACCCACCTACTCACCCACCTACTCACTCGCTCGCTCAACTACTCAGTCACCCATGCACCCACTCACTCACTCATCCAATCGCACAATCACTCACCCATCCACCCCTTCGCTCACCCACTCACTCAACCACCCATTCACTCACCCACTCACCCATCCACCCATTCACACACACACTCACGCACCCACTCACTTGCTCATTTACCCACTCATCCGCCTGCTCACCCATCTACTCGCCCACCTACTCACCCAACCTACTCACTCAACTACCCAGTCACCCATGCACCCACTCACTCATCCACTCGCACGATCACAGGCTCACTCACCCACTCATCCACCCACTCACCCACTCATCCACCCACCCACTCATCCTCCCACTTATCCACCCACTAAATGATGAATGTTTGATTCTGCGCCATTGAATCGATTCGACGTTGGTGTGGTTCCTGTGAGAGTGTCGTGACTGAATAATTTATGTTAATTTCGAATATTGCGCCGGGATAAATTATGCTAATTAGAACATTGTGACTGATCGTTGTATGTTAATCAGATTTGCGTGACTGAATAATGTATGTTAATTTTGAATCTTGCGCCGGAATAAATTATGCTAATTAGAACATCGTGACTGATCGTTGTACGTTAATCAGATTCGCGTGACTGATATAATTTATGTTAATTTTAAATCTTGCGCCGGAATAAATTATGCTAATTAGAACATCGTGACTGATCGTTGTACGTTAATCAGATTCGCGTGACTGATATAATTTATGTTAATTTCGATTGGTTGTGCCTGATTAATTTATGTTAATTAGATTAGGTCCGAATAATTAGTCTTTAGTCGTGTGCCTGAAAAATTGTGCCCGAATAGCTGGATTAGATTGCGCGTGAAAATTGTACGCCAATTAGAATTACATGTACCCGTGTAATTTATATCCTTTTTAAAAGGTATAGTGTAGTGTGTAGTGTATAGTGTAGTGTATAGTGTAGTGTATAGTGTAGTGTATAGGGTAGTGTATAGTGTAGTAGTGTATAGTGTAGTGTATAGTGTAGTGTATAGTGTAGTGGTGTATAGTGTAGTGTATAGTGTAGTAGCGTATAGTGTAGTGGTGTATAGTGTAGTGTATAGTGTAGTGTATAGTGTAGTGTATAGTGTAGTGTATAGGGTAGTGTATAGTAGTGTATAGTGTAGTAGTGTATAGTGTAGTGTATAGTGTAGTGTATAGTGTAGTGGTGTATAGTATAGTGTAGTGTATAGTGTAGTGTATAGTGTAGTGTATAGTGTAGTGTATAGGGTAGTGTATAGTAGTGTATAGTGTAGTAGTGTATAGTGTAGTGTATAGTGTAGTAGTGTATAGTGTAGTGTATAGTGTAGTTCTGTATAGTGTAGTAGTGTATAGTGTAGTGTATAGTGTAGTGTATAGTGTATAGTAGTGTATAGTAGTGTATAGTGTAGTGTACAGTGTAGTGTATAGTGTAGTGTGTAGTGTATAGTGTATAGTGTAGTATATAGTGTAGTATATAGTGTAGTGTATAGTGTAGTGTATAGTGTAGGGTCCGTCCGATGGGAATCGCGGATGCCCGGAATCAACTTGTGCGCCCTGACCCACCCCGTCCCCACCCCCGCATCTCCCATTTGTGAGTTCTAGAGGGGCCATGGACGGCCTTGAGGTGTTTCAGAGTCCCGGCAAGGGTCGAGGGTTGAGATCGACACGGGATCTCGGCACGGGGGAAGTCGTCTTCGCCTGTGCCCCCTATGCCGCTGTCGTCTTTGACTCGTGAGAGGGTGCCCTACGATACATTGTACACTACGCTATACACTACGCTACTATACACTACGCTATACACTACACTATGCACTACTACACACTACACTATACACTACTCTATACACTACGCTACTATATACTACTACACTATACACTACTACACTATACACTACTATACACTACACTATACACTACTATACACTACACTATACACTACTATACACTACACTATACACTACTACACTATACACTACACTATACACTACTATACACTACACTATACACTACTACACTATACACAACGTTATACACTACACTATACACTACACTATACACTACACTACTATATACTACTATACACTACACTACTATACACTACACTATACACTACACTATACACTACACTACTATACACTACTACACTATACACTACACTATACACTACACTATACACTACTATATACTACTATACACTACACTATACACTATACTACTATACACTACTACACTATACACTACTACACTATACACTACACTATACACTACACTATACACTACACTATACACTACTACACTATACACTACACCATACACTACTACACTATACACTACTACACTACACTATACACTACACTATACACTACACTATACACTACTACACTATACACTACACTACTATACACTACACTATACACTACTATACACTAAACTACTATACACTACACTACTATACACTACACTATACACTACAATACACTACACTATACACTACTACACTATACACTACCACACTACACTGTACACTACACTATACACTACACTATACACTACTATACACTAAACTACTATACACTACACTACTATACACTACACTATACACTACAATACACTACACTATACACTACTACACTATACACTACCACACTACACTGTACACTACACTATACACTACACTATACACACAACTATACACTACATTATGATGGTGGTGATGATGGCGGTGATGAAGGTTGTGGTGGTTGTGGTGATGGTGGTGGTGATGATGGTGGTGATGAAGGTTGTGGTGGTGGTGGTGGTTATGATGGCGGTGATGAAGGTTGTGGTGGTGATGATGGTGGTGGTGATGATGGTGGTAGTGGTGGTGATGGTGATGAAGGTTGTGGTGGTGATGATGGTGGTGATGAAGGTTGTGGTGGTGGTGATGGTGGTGGTGATGAAGGTTGTGGTGGTGGTGGTGGTGGTGATGAAGGTTGTGGTGGTGGTGGTGGTGGTGCTGGTGGTAATGGTGGTGGTGATGATGGTGGTGATGATGGTGGTGATGAAGGTTGTGGTGGTGGTGGCAATGATGGTGGTGATGAAGGTTGTGGTGGTGGTGATGATGGTGGTAATGAAGGTTGTGGTGGTGGTGGTGGTGATGATGGTGGCGATGATGGTGGTGGTGGCAATGATGGTGGTGATGAAGGTTGTGGTGGTGGTGGTGATGATGGTGGTGATGAAGGTTGTGGTGGTGGTGATGATGGTGGTGATGATGGTGGTGATGATGGTGGCGATGGAGGTTGTGGTGGTGGTGGTGGTGGTGGTGATGGTGGTGGTGATGATGGTGGTGAAGGTTCTGGTGGTGGTGGTGGTGATGATGGTGGTGATGATGGTGGTGATGATGGTGGTGATGAAGGTTGTGGTGGTGATGGTGGTGGTGATGATGGTGGTGAAGGTTCTGGTGGTGGTGGTGGTGATGATGGTGGTGATGAAGGTTGTGGTGATGGGGATGGTGGTGGTGTTGATGGTGGTGATGATGGTGATGGTGGTGATGAAGGTTGTGGTGGTGGTGATGGGGATGGTGGTGGTGCTGGTGGTGGCGATGATGGTGCTGGTCGTGTTGATGGTGGTGATGATGGTGGTGATGATGGTGATGATGATGGTGGTGATGAAGGTGGTGGTGATGGGGATGGTGGTGGTGTTGATGGTGGTGTTGATGGTGGTGATGATGATGGTGATGATGATGGTGGTGATGAAGGTTGTGTTGATGGTGTTGATGGTGGTGGTGTAGATGGTGGTGATGTTGGTGATGGTGGTGATGGTGGTGGTGATGGTGGTGATGATGGTGGTGATGGTGGTGGTGATGATGGTGATGATGATGGTGGTGATGAAAGTGGTGTTGATGGTGGTGATGGTGGTGCTGGTGGTGGTGATGGTGGTGATGATGATGGTGATGATGATGGTTGTGGTGGTGTTGATGGTGGTGATGGTGCTGGTGGTGGCGATGGTGGCGATGGAGGCGACGTTCATCCCTTCCCCTCCCTGCGTCTCCTTCTCACACTCCCAGGATGGCGGAAAGCGTCTGCCACTGTTGCCTGCGGCGCGGTGGCGGTGGAGGCAGTGGAGGCGGTGGAGGCGGTGGAGGCGGTGGAGGCAGTGGAGGCGGTGGAGGCGGCTCGCTTCACCGCTGTGTTTCTTGCCGGTTCGCCCTCTACTGCGACCGCTCATGCCAGCGCCGAGCCTGGGCAGAGGGTCACGGGCCGGAGTGCCGGGCCCTCAAGCAAAGCGCAGACGCCGGTGGCCGGCCCGGGGAGAACGTCCGGTGAGAGGGGGGGGTGGGGGGAGAGGGGGGAGATGGGGAGAGATGGCGGATGGGAGAGATGGGGGATGGGAGAGATGGGGGATGGGAGAGATGGGGGATGGGAGAGATGGGGGATGGGAGAGATGGGGGATGGGAGAGATGGGGGATGGGAGAGATGGGGGATGGGAGAGATGGGGGATGGGAGAGATGGGGGATGGGAGAGATGGGGGGAGATGGAGAGAGATGGGGGAGGGAGTGATGGGGAGAGATGGGAGAGATGGGGGGAGATGGGGGGAGATGGGGAGAGATGGGGAGAGATGGGGGAGGGAGAGATGGGGAGAGATGGGAGAGATGGGGGAGGGAGAGATGGGGAGATGGGGAGAGATGGGGAGAGATGGGGGGGATGGGGGGGGGAGAGATGGAGGGAGATGGGGAGAGATGGGGAGAGATGGGGGAGGGAGAGATGGGGGGAAATGGGGGGAGATGGGGAGAGATGGGGGAGGGAGAGATGGGGGGAAATGGGGGGAGATGGGGAGAGATGGGGGAGATGGGGGAGGGAGAGATGGGGAGAGATGGGAGAGATGGGGGAGGGAGAGATGGGGAGATGGGGAGAGATGGGGAGAGATGGGGGGGGATGGGGGAGGGAGAGATGGAGGGAGATGGGGAGAGATGGGGAGAGATGGGGGAGGGAGAGATGGGGGGAAATGGGGGGAGATGGGGAGAGATGGGGGAGATGGGGGAGGGAGAGATGGGGAGAGATGGGAGAGATGGGGGAGATGGGGGAGGGAGAGATGGGGAGAGATGGGAGAGATGGGGGGAGAAGGGGAGAGATGGGGGAGGGAGAGATGGGGGGAAATGGGGGGAGATGGGGAGAGATGGGGGAGATGGGGGAGGGAGAGATGGGGAGAGATGGGAGAGATGGGGGAGGGAGAGATGGGGAGAGATGGGGGGGATGGGGGAGGGAGAGATGGAGGGAGATGGGGAGAGATGGGGGAGGGAGAGATGGGGGGAAATGGGGGGAGATGGGGAGAGATGGGGGAGATGGGGGAGGGAGAGATGGGGAGAGATGGGAGAGATGGGGGGAGAAGGGGAGAGATGGGGGAGGGAGAGATGGGGGAGGGAGAAATGGGGGAGGGAGAGATGGGGAGAGATGGGGAGAGATGAGGAGATGGGGAGATGGGGGAGATGGGGGAGATGGGGGAGGCAGAGATGGGGGAGGGAGAGATGGCGAAAGACGATGTTGACGCTGACTGATGCCACCCCCCCCCACAACCCCCCCCCCCCGCCACCTTCCAGACTGGCCGCTCGAATCCTGTGGCGCTGGTACAAGGAGGGGGGTGTGAGGGCCGCCCAGGACCTCATCTCCATCCCCGAGTTGCAGGACCACGTGGAGGCTCTGGGAGCGGAGGAGCGATCCGAACTGCAGAGCGACGTCAACGCCCTGGGCCACTACTGGAAGGCCGCCGCTGCTGCTACTGCCGGTGCCGGTGCTGGTGCCGGTGCTGGTGCCGGCGACGGCGACGTCCAACTCTTCACCCACGTGCTGGCGTTGGTGAGGGTCTTGCAGCTCGCCGGCGCGGTGGTGGCGGTGGTGGTGGAGGCGGTGGTGGTGGCGGTGGTGGTGGCGGTGGTGGTGGTGGCGGTGGCGGTGATGGTGGTGGCGGTGGTGGTGGTGGTGATAGTGGTGGTGGTGGTGGTGATAGTGGTGGTGGTGGTGGTAGCGGCTACGGTGGTGGTTGTGAAAGGGAGCTGGACCGGTACCGCCTGGATCTCTGCGGCATCCGGCGAGCCCATGTCCTTGACACCAGGGACCTACCGTGGAGCTGATCTGCCCTCTGGCCATCGACTAGTCATCTGTAAGATGCGCCTGCCATTCTTCCACTCCGGTGGTGGGTGTACACCCAGGACCCCCATTCCAACCTAAAGTGGCCTGGTCTCAGTTATCTGATGAAAGTTGCAAGCGAGAATTTAATCATCGCTTGCGGCTGGGTTTGGCATCGTCCCCGACTCCTCCTGATGCCGAGGGTAAATGGGCGAGGTTTAGGACTGTGACTCATGCAGCTGCAATGGCTGCTTTTGGTACGCGGTCCAGACCTCCGCAGAGACCCTGGCTGACAGAGGAGGCGTTCAGGATGGTTGAGAAAAAGCGACAGGCCCACTGCCATCGGCTACAGAATCCCACGTCAGAGAATGAGGAGGCTTACCGCAGCCTTCGCTCGGAGGTCCGGAGAGCCGTGAGGCAACCGCAAGGATGGGTGGCGGTCGCGGGTTGCTGAGGAGATGGGAGTCGGCCTCAGCGGCCCACGATAACAAATCTCCATTTAACTCCACCAAAAAAAAATCAACCTGCAGCGCCACACCTATTACCATCATTCGGGAGGAAAGAACGGTGATCCGACCTCCGACCCCACCTCCGACCACCCCCCCAGGAACAGCTTTGCAGACTTGCTGATCACTTCCGTGAGGTCCTGGTGCTGGGGGGAGGGGAAATCCCTCAGCCTGGAAAATTATCACGGGGGGCAAAAGTTGGGGGGGGGGGAGGGGGGGACGACGACCCTGCTGAGGCTGCCTCGCCCCCCCCCCCCCCCCCCCCCCCCCACGTGGTGAGTGGCTGGCTCAGGCGCCACCCTACTGGGAGGCGGTGGAGGGCGATCCGGAGGAGCGTCTCCCACGCCGGGGTCCCGCTACGACCAGCTGGAACCTGGGGCCACCGCTCCCTCGCTCCCTCGCTCCCTCGCTCCCTCGCTCCCTCGCTCCCTCGCTCCCTCGCTCCCTCGCTCCCTCGCTCCCTCGCTCCCTCCCTCCCTCGCTCCCTCGCTCCCTCGCTCCCTCGCTCCCTCGCTCCCTCCCTCCCTCGCTCCCTCCCTCCCTCGCTCCCTCGCTCCCTCGCTCCCTCGCTCCCTCGCTCCCTCGCTCCCTCCCTCGCTCCCTCGCTCCCTCCCTCGCTCCCTCGCTCCCTCCCTCCTCTCCCTCACCACCACTACCACCAGCAGCAGCAGCAGCAGCAGGGCCGCTCCACCCCACCAGCTGGCCGTGCCAGCAAGGGAGCGCAGTCCCGGGAGACGCCCCTAACCCGTCCGTGATGGACGGGGCAGTAGGACGAGGGTTGGACTTCAGAGTTTACGCGCAGGGTAGAGGCCAGAAAGGGAAGGTCGGCATCGGCCACGATGGACAGCGCGTCCACCCCCCCCGCCCCCGCCGCCCCGAAGGAGGGACGAAGAAGGGCGGGCGGGCGGGCGGGCGGGCGGGCGGTCGGGAGTCTCGAGTCCAGGGTAAGAGGCGGGCAGTTGATGATCTCCCAAGCGATGGTGGCCCCAAGGCCCCAAGGCCGCGCTGCTTCGGAGGCCGTCTGGAACGCTTATCCCCGTCCCGGTGTTTCGGAAGCCACTGCAGCTGTCCGCTTCGAAGCCATCGTCCGGGTTGACAGACTCGTCTCTGTAGAGCTTGTGGGCGGACTTTCCTGCGTCTCCAGACGCCGAGTCCCAGTCTCGCTGAGGCTCTGGTCCCTAAGTTCGCAGACCCTGAGTCTCTAGACCCTGAGTCTGTAGCCTCTGAGTCTCTAGACCCTGAGTCTCTAGCCGCTGAGTCTCTACACCCTGAGTCTCTACTAGACCCTGAGTCTCTACTAGACCCTGAGTCTCTAGATCCTGAGTCTCTAGCCGCTGAGTCTCCAGACCCTGAGTCTCTAGCCGCTGAGTCTCTACACCCTGAGTCTCTACTACACCCTGAGTCTCTACTAGACCCTGAGTCTCTACTAGACCCTGAGTCTCTACTAGACCCTGAGTCTCTACACCCCGAGTCTCTACTAGACCCTGAGTCTCTACTAGACCCTGAGATTCTACACCCCGAGTCTCTACTAGACCCTGAGTCTCCAGACCCTGAGTCTCTAGACCCTGAGTCTCTACACCCTGAGTCTCTACACCCTGAGTCTCTAGACCCTGAGTCTCTAGACCCTGAGTCTCTACACCCCGAGTCTCTACACCCCCACTGCCTCCCCTGAGTATCTACTAGACCCTGAGTCTCTACACCCTGAGTCTCTACACCCTGAGTCTCTACTAGACCCTGAGTCTCTACACCCTGAGTCTCTACTAGACCCTGAGTCTCTACACCCTGAGTCTCTACCAGACCCTGAGACTCTACTACACCCTGAGTCTCTGCTAGACCCTGAGTCTCTACACCCTGAGTCTCTACACCCTGAGTCTCTACTACACCCTGAGTCTCTACACCCTGAGTCTCTGCTAGACCCTGAGTCTCTAGACACTGAGTCTCTACACCCTGAGTCTCTACACCCTGAGTCTCTACTACACCCTGAGTCTCTACACCCTGAGTCTCTACACCCCGAGTCTCTAGACCCTGAGTCTCTACTAGACCCTGAGTCTATACACCCTGAGTCTCTACTACACCCTGAGTCTCTACACCCTGAGTCTCTACACCTTGAGTCTCTACACCCTGAGTCTCTACACCCTGAGACTCTACACCCTGAGTCTCTAGACCCTGAGTCTCTACACCCTGAGTCTCTAGACCCTGAGTCTCCAGACCCTGAGTCTCTAGACCCTGAGTCTCTACTAGACCCTGAGTCTCTACTAGACCCTGAGTCTCTACACCCTGAGTCTCTACACCCTGAGTCTCTACACCCCGAGTCTCTAGACCCTGAGTCTCCAGACCCTGAGTCTCTAGACCCTGAGTCTCTACACCCTGAGTCTCCAGACCCTGAGTCTCTAGACCCTGAGTCTCTACACCCTGAGTCTCTACACCCTGAGTCTCTACACCCTGAGTCTCTAGACCCTGAGTCTCTACACCCTGAGTCTCTAGACCCTGAGTCTCCAGACCCTGAGTCTCTAGACCCTGAGTCTCTAGACCCTGAGTCTCCAGACCCTGAGTCTCTAGACCCTGAGTCTCCAGACCCTGAGTCTCTAGACCCTGAGTCTCCAGACCCTGAGTCTCTACACCCTGAGTCTCTACACCCCGAGTCTCTAGACCCTGAGTCTCTATCCCACTGCCTCCCCTGAGTATCTACTAGACCCTGAGTCTCTACACCCTGAGTCTCTACACCCTGAGTCTCCAAACCCTGAGTCTCCAGACCCTGAGTCTCTAGACCCTGAGTCTCTAGACCCTGAGTCTCCAGACCCTGAGTCTATAGACCCTGAGTCTCTACACCCTGAGTCTCTACACCCTGAGTCTCTACACCCTGAGTCTCTACACCTGAGTCTCTAGACCCTGAGTCTCTACACCCTGAGTCTCCAGACCCCAAGTCTCTACACCCTGAGTCTCTAGACCCTGAGTCTCTAGACACTGAGTCTCTACACCCTGAGTCTCTAGACCCTGAGTCTCTACACCCTGAGATTCTACACCCTGAGTCTCTACACCCTGAGTCTCTACAACCTGAGTCTCTAGACCCTGAGTCTCCAAACCCTGAGTCTCTAGACCCTGAGTCTCTAGACCCTGAGTCTCTACACCCTGAGTCCGTCTCTCTGAGTCTCTACACCCTGAGTCTCTACACCCTGAGTCTCTGCACCCTGAGTCTCTAGACCCTGAGTCTCTACACCCTGAGCCTCTAGATCCTGAGTCTCCAGACCCTGAGTCTCTAGACCCTGAGTCTCTACACCCTGAGTCTCTACACCCTGAGTCTCTACTAGACCCTGAGTCTCTACACCCTGAGTCTCTACTAGACCCTGAGTCTCTACACCCTGAGTCTCTACACCCTGAGTCTCTACTAGGCCCTGAGTCTCTACTAGACCCTGAGTCTCTTCTAGACCCTGAGTCTCTTCACCCCGAGTCTCTACACCCTGAGTCTCTAGACCCTGAGTCTCTATCCCACTGCCTCCCCTGAGTCTCTACTAGACCCTGAGTCTCTACACCCTGAGTCTCTAGACCCTGAGTATCTACTAGACCCTGAGTCTCTACACCCTGAGTCTCTACTACACCCTGAGTCTCTACACCCTGAGTCTCTACTACACCCTGAGTCTCTAGACCCTGAGACTCTAGACCCTGAGTGTCTACACCCTGAGTCTCTACACCCTGAGTCTCTACTACACCCTGAGTCTCCAGACCCTGAGTCTCTAGACCCTGAGTCTCTACACCCTGAGTCTCTACTACACCCTGAGTCTCCAGACCCTGAGTCTCTACTAGACCCTGAGTCTCTACTAGACCCTGAGTCTCTACTAGACCCTGAGTCTCTACACCCTGAGTCTCTACACCCTGAGTCTCTACACCCTGAGTCTCTACACCCTGAGTCTCTACTAGACCCTGAGTCTCTACACCCTGAGTCTCTAGACCCTGAGTATCTACTAAACCCTGAGACTCTACACCCTGAGTCTCTACTACACCCTGAGTCTCTACACCCTGAGTCTCTAGACCCTGAGACTCTAGACCCTGAGTGTCTACACCCTGAGTCTCTACACCCTGAGTCTCTACTACACCCTGAGTCTCCAGACCCTGAGTCTCTAGACCCTGAGTCTCTACACCCTGAGTCTCTACACCCTGAGTCTCCAGACCCTGAGTCTCTACTAGACCCTGAGTCTCTACTAGACCCTGAGTCTCTACTAGACCCTA